AATTTTTATTCACTGCTTTTTGCTTTCTTTCCTTCACTTCCACCAGTACTTTCACTGGATAGACGTCGCTTGGTAAAATATCTATTCAAAGAACCTACTTTTTAAAATGTTTCTAAAATGACTTAGCCAAATGTCATTACTCCGAGCAGCAATACAGCCAGTGTGAACCTTTTCAGAATGTTTCTTTTCAATAAAATCAGTCACTCTCTGATAATACCTCAAGATTTCCTTTATTGAGTGAGATCCTTCCATGGGAAAGCAAACACGTGGACTGAGACCAACGAACAGAAGTGAATAAAAAATGGCGCTGCAAACTAATGTAATGTCGTATGGTGAGTTTTTATTCGTATTGTGGAGCAAAAATATGTTTGAATTTCATGTAGTATCCTAAAAATTTCGTATGCTGGGGCATTCGTATCCTGAGGTACCACTGTATTTCAAAATAAATTTCACATAAGTCTGATTTTTTTGTAATTACAATTTCCAATTTTTCTCAATTACATTTTTTTCAAATTTTTACTATTTTTTTGTGATATTTTATTCAATTTAAATTTACACTTACCCTCTATTTCTGTTATTGTAACCACCACCACCTCCATAAGAATCTCCAAACTGACCATAAGCACTCTATGAAAATATAAATTAAAATTTTTCATATTCTAAAATAGATAGGCAGTATATATTTATACATAAAAGGAAATAAACATAAATATTAGAGCAAATTAAAATCAAATTTAAATAACCTTTAATTGATAAAGTGAAAAACTGCAGAAACTTATAAAAGATCCACATAAAGCTCCATGTCTGTCTATATCAAGGTTGCTTATCCCTGATATAGACACACTGCACTTCCAACTAGAATGCACAATACTTCTCAACATATGCATAGTAAACATAACAACATGCTAATTAATAAACAATAATACTGTATATTCTTTTAAAAAATTCAATTGTTTAAAAGAATATAAAGAAAACCACACCATTGATATACAGTAATACATATCTATTACTTATAGTAAACAATACTGTACTTCATACTAATTAATTACTGTTACTATTTTTCACAATAATATATATAATTTATATATATTTTATTGGTCTTATAATCAGAAGTGCATCTGTGACAATTATAAGCATTAATTCAAATTATCCTTAAATAAAGTTTTTCAGGTTAAATAAAAAGGCAAAAGGCTTAATTTTGAGGTTGGAGATAAGTTTTTATTCAATAAACTAAAAATTTGTAAGAGAAAAAAAACTTACAAATTTTTAGTTTACTGAATAAAAACTCATCACTAACCTCAAAATTAAGCCTTATGAAATTTTTTTCAATTTCAAAACAAGCTTTTTGAGATAAGCTCCCACTGCTTTAATTATTATCTCTTGAATCAATGGTCTGATTTTCCTAAAAATCTCTAGAAACATTTCCCCAATATACAAATCTTGCTGTAAAATTTCAGAAATTTTTGAAAAAGGCACAGGAGTTATTAAGCTTTAAAGTGAATAAAAAACAAGTAACAATCAAGTAAATAATTTCAAGATTAATTTTTCTATGGAGTTGAGAAAAACAATTATCTAGCCTTTAGTCACTTGTTACTGTAATTATATCTGGTAGGTTTTAATATAAGAATGCCCCACACACACAACAAATGCACTAATATCCATATATATGTGGGGAGACCCAAAAATAACTGGATTTTTTGTATAAAAACTTTATTTATTAACTTTTTTAAATTTTTGACTGAAGGTGACTGAAGAAATTTTTTTAAATTTCTTCAGTCACCTTCAAAGTACTCTCCATTAGATGCGATGCACTTGTGAAGTATTTTTCCCCATTGTTTGAAGCATCTCTGGAACTCTTCAACCTTGATATCGTCCAGTGCCCTTAGCGAAGCTGTTTTTACCGCCTCCACATCATCAAAACGCTTCCCTTTTAAATTTTTCTTCATTCTCGGAAACAAAAAAAAGTCACACAGGGCTAAGTCTGGTGAATATGGAGGGTGGGGAACAACACGTCATCTCCAAGAGGACAAATAGTGGGTCACTCATAAGGCCATGTGTGCGGGGGCGTTGTCATGATGAAGGAACCAGTCACCTGATCGCCAAAGTTCCAGGCATTTCCTTCACACATCCTCTTGCAGATGTCTTAACACTTTTTTGCAGATGTTTTCAATGTTTTCATTGTTTTGAGATGTCGAAGGACGCCCAGAACTTTTCAGGTCGAACAAAATAACAGTAAGAGAAACACAACAGTACATTCAAATGTAAACCTACAAACTGATGCCATCTGCACAGCTGTTTCGTGAAGGTCTCTACTAACCCCATGTAACAGGAGAACTCTCTACTATGTCTACGAATGGCAGCGCGCTCTCAGTTCAGTTTTTTTTGGGTCCCCCCTCGTAGGAAAAAACCAACTTTTGTGTTTCTCAATGTTTCAAGGCCTGAGTCCAAAAATGTAAAAATCTCAGGAGTCACACTAGTTCAATATCTTATAAAAGAAACTGAAACTAGATCAGAATGTAGAAAAATACATTCTGAAATGGACATGAAATTTCTGTCACACCCCATGGGCATGTGACAGAATCAAGAAAGTTGAGATCTTATGGCTTCTAAAACTATACTCTTAGATTGTTGCTTCAAGAAAGCAGAGAATTTATCTTGTAATGTAAATGTAATTTCTAATATGTCTGAAAATTGTTTGAAGAGCAACCAACAACTGTGGAACCAACTGAATGTCATAACATGTAAAATGTTTGATTACTTTGAAGCTGATGCAAACCTTTACATTGGCAAAGATAATCCAGATAATGAAGCTGAAAATGCATCTGATAGTGATGATGATAAGGCAGATGAAGCTGATAATATAGCTAAATATCCAACAAGAGGCTGTTTCAGCATTAAAAACATTACTAGACAGCTACCTCCTCTGAGCAGTACACTGAAAATATCAGCCATATTTTAGCAGATGTGACAGCCTTTACAAACAAGGAATGTGACAGATGAAACAACAATTGATTTCTGATTACTTAATTTAAGTAAAATTTTGATTATTTATCAACTATCAAATTGCACATTCCAAAAATTTTGGTTCTCTGAATATGCAATTATCGAGGTTTTACTGTATTTACTCACACTGCTGACTTTTTTATTTCTATTATCCCAAATTTTTGGAACTGTTTTATTAAATCACAACTGCTATATTAATGCTTTGCAGCTTATTAGCTAATTTGCATAATCATGCTAATGTACTGTACTTGCATACAATAAAAATATTTATTAAAACTTATTTAGAATTCTGATAAGTAAATGAATATTTATCATAAAAAATTATTTGTAAATGCAAAATAATTTACATGAAATTTTACATTATTATTATAATGCCACTAATGTGCATAAAAAAATCCAGCAGTTCAAAGGTTTTATTTCCAAGCGAAGGCATGCCTTCAGTTGGAAATAAAGCATTAGAACTGTGGATTGTAAGTTAATGAAATGTTAGAATAAGCCAGTATCCAAATTGGAAATTAGTAATCCAGTATTGAGAAGTAAAAATTAAAAATTCTACTAAAGCCATACATTCTTTGAGATATTTGAATTCAGTAAATTTCTAATTGTACCCCTAAGTGTAATCCTATCTCTAAATGTAATACTATTGTAAAGTATTAGAAATAAAGCTCCTTTTTTTAGGGTCAAATGTGTTACATACTACACTTATCCAGCCAAATATCCACAAAATCAAAAGAAAAATTATTTTTAACCAACCATACAACTAATTGTATTATGACTAAACATTTTTAAGATAACTACTCTATGATTGCAATAAAAGAAACATTATAAAACATATTGCAAAAATGATTATTTTTCTGTAACTCTTATTTACAGCTAATAAACTAACTGTTTTAAAAATAATATGCTAATGGATAAAAGTTTTCTTGCTGCAAAACCAATACCGACAGCAGAAAAACAGAAGAACTATACATTATTCTTCTGATTATGATTTTGAAAACTTACTGGTATAGATGAACTAAACATGATCTTTAAGTGATTAAAAAATGTTTATTATTGTTGCAAATTCTAATTCATACCTTTTATATACTGAGAAAAAATAAACTTTAATTAATAAGTTTAAGAAGCATATTAAAAATCAATTTACTTAAGCTTTTATAAGAAGTATATAAGAAATATACATTTAAAGAGTTAAATAATTAGATATTATTCGGTTGCAATTTGAAAAAACTGTACTTATAAATTCCCACTGTCATCTGTCCGTCTTTCCTTAATGCTGAGAACGAAATTAGATACATGAAAGTCAAGACCAAATATAAAAATCTTAGGAGCAGGGATTCCTAACTTCCAATGCAAACTAAAAGTCACATTATTTCAGTTCAAAAATTTCCCCTGAAAGGAGTTACATAACAACCAGCAGGACTCTGTTGCTAACAGGAAAAGTATTACAAAATTAAATAAAAGAACTGAGTTCTAATGGCAGAACTATAACAGTTTATTTTAAATTTACAACATTTGAAAAGGAATGATTTATGTATTTCAAAATTTGACATATTAAAATTAAAACATAAAATAACACTATCCAAAAAAATAATTTTAATTGTAATTAAAAACACTTGACAAATTCCCATCAGTATAGCAAAATTTCTGAAAATTAATAAACACCTTCAAATTTTTATCTAGAATATTAAATTTATAATAGATATAAAACAGGCTACTTTATAAAATTTTACGACTATATAAAACAATTTATTCTTCGGGTTATATATTTTGTGACAGATTTCATGTAAAAATAATAAACTACCAAACAATTATTTATTGTGACATCACCACAATGCTGGGCTGCAATTTTTAATCATATTTTTAATTTATTTAATTTAAAATATATGCTCTCCATCTCAAATAGTAGTGGTTTGCCCCTGTACATCACACTTTTCCTTTAACAGTCAAGCTGATGTTTGTTGTTTGTTTGTTAAGTTATGGCAATGCAACGCTTGGGCGATCTGCCTATGGGGATGCCTTCCGGGAGGTCTTTTTAAGGGAAACTGGTCCCTATTTAGGCATTACAGACGTGGAGAAAACTCCACATGGCCAGTCTGTCCAAGCAAGGCACGAACCCATGACCAAACTCCCAGTGTTCAGGGTAAGAAGACCACTTGGCCACTGGTGGGCCTCTGGGGCATGCTGATCATCTATTAACTGTTTTCAGGGAAAAACTTTTGAGTTGAAACAACATGACTTCCAATGCTACCCAGAAGTTCATATACAGTCAATTGGGGCCTCCTGCCCTAAGGTTTCCATATCTGGTCTCAGATTTCATCTATCTAATTCAGCTCTCAAGGTTAAGAAAAGACAGACAGATGTGCGACAGTGGAAATTTAGGTCTACAATTTTTTCAAATTGCAGCCCAAAAAATTACACATGTTAATAATTAACATTAAGTCTAGCCCAAGTCATTCTCCTCCCTCATTTTATCAACTAGAGACTGCCAAGCTTTGGATAAGCATTTCCTTCTCCTTGAAATTAATGCATTCATTCTTTCTAGAGGCTTGAAAGATTNCTTGGGCGATCTGCCTATGGGGATGCCTTCCGGGAGGTCTTTTTAAGGGAAACTGGTCCCTATTTAGGCATTACAGACGTGGAGAAAACTCCACATGGCCAGTCTGTCCAAGCAAGGCACGAACCCATGACCAAACTCCCAGTGTTCAGGGTAAGAAGACCACTTGGCCACTGGTGGGCCTCTGGGGCATGCTGATCATCTATTAACTGTTTTCAGGGAAAAACTTTTGAGTTGAAACAACATGACTTCCAATGCTACCCAGAAGTTCATATACAGTCAATTGGGGCCTCCTGCCCTAAGGTTTCCATATCTGGTCTCAGATTTCATCTATCTAATTCAGCTCTCAAGGTTAAGAAAAGACAGACAGATGTGCGACAGTGGAAATTTAGGTCTACAATTTTTTCAAATTGCAGCCCAAAAAATTACACATGTTAATAATTAACATTAAGTCTAGCCCAAGTCATTCTCCTCCCTCATTTTATCAACTAGAGACTGCCAAGCTTTGGATAAGCATTTCCTTCTCCTTGAAATTAATGCATTCATTCTTTCTAGAGGCTTGAAAGATTTCAAATACTTCCATTGATCATAATTTGTTGACGTCATTTATCTTTTTTAATAATTTAGCCTGGTCCTAACATGCCAACACCCCCAGCTTGCTTGCAAATTCGGCAAGCGCTATGGATAGACTATTTGTATGAACATCACATTTATGTTCCTTGAGCCTTTGGTTAATGATCTTTTAGTAGTGCCTGTGTATTTTAAATTAACTTTCTACCAAATCTATCATCCAACACCAGTATAGTATATACTCCAGGAGCTAAGTTCTGATCTATAGAATCTTTACCATTAGCTAGTTAATTAATTACAATTGAATTATATCTATAAGCTATTCTAGCATTCATATGTTTTGCTAGTGTTTTATATGTAGAAGTAAGGCTTGGATCATAGTGCACTGCTATAAATTTCTGGGGTAAAGTTTCTGAATTTTGCTTATCATTACTAAGCTGTGTTTTATTAATGCTGTTCTGTATGTTTTTAGCTAATCTAACAATCAGATTTTTGCTGCATCCATGAGCTTGTGCTAATTTTTTAACTCTTTTGGTACTTTCCAATTTTTAATGTTAATGTAATTAAACATAAAAAAATACTTAAAACTGAAAAAAATGAAAGAAATGCGTTAATTTTGAAGAAAAAGCTTCAAACTTTCTTTTCCATTGTCTCCCCTTTCTGCGAAATTTGACACTGATGAGTCATTGTGTTTACAGCTAGATGACCTTCAGAACAGTTGGTGTTGGATTTCCCGGGACATTCTCATAAAACTTACAGGAGGCGAAGGGTTTATAGTAGGGTGAATACTATATATGTATATTTTTAAATATGTTTAAAAAATTATGTTTTTTATTGCGATTTCCG